TTATTAAAGGTCATTTAATGAATTTTAATGATTTTCAATGCCCCGCAGAAACCCTGCCTTTGTTGGAAATGTAAATAAATTATTTGAATTATGTTTGATTATGTTATAACACCTTTCAGTTACAATATTTCATATTACAGTAAAGTGAAGTAGCTTTAAGTTTCTGAAATATCCTATAATTGTAACTTCTCCTTTAGTGGTCCGAAAAACAAAGAAGGTCATACGGCATTAGAACAACACCAGGGTGTGTAATATGGAAGCATATGGGTAGCAAAATTCAATTTGAAATGTAATATGCAAAATGGCAATTCAATATGTAAAATGGCAATGTATTTCTGTATTTAAATTTACATTTTCCATTACCCATACGTGCAAAGTTTGGTGCAAAAGGAAAATTAAAATTAAATTATATAATTTACATTTCCCATTTCCAACAGTAGTCTTAATATGTAAACATAACATAACATAATCAAACATAATTAAAATAATTTATTTACTTTTCCAACAAAAGCAGGGTTTCTGCGGGCCATTGAAAATGATTAAAAGTCATTAAATGACCTTTAATAACAGTCATTCAGGACTTCCATTCAAAAACTCGAGAAGTCTTGATTAATTTTAAACAATCTTTTGTATAATTAATTTAAATTAATGTTTCTAATAGACACATTTATAGCAGAACCTCAAGTAAATTACAAGTTATTTTGTTTAGTCACATACAGGTGGGAGCTTTTTCAATTTATTACTCAGAACGAATTATTAGCCTACAACACCTTTAAAGACTTATTCAGGGAAGTACAGCAGGATGCAGGAAATGGTTGAGTATTATTTTAGGTATACAGCAGCTTGGCTCCTTAAATGTTTAAAAACCAGCTAATTTCAAGACGCTGACGTCACGTGGGTCACCGTTCAAAGCTCAAGACGTTCGGATGGACGTTCGGTTTGACATTCGTTCGATCAGTCGGTCGGTCGTTCGAACGTTTGATTTTAGCATGGAGAACACTTCATATATTTCTCTGTTCACGCTCCACTTCATCCGCCAGTGAATTCGACGATCT